CAATGTCAATAAACCACAGTGGTCAGTTTAATCATGCAAACAGACCCAAACTCTGGGGAGGGCAGCAGACTAGTATGCACAAACCACGAGTCAAACTATGAGACAGCGTTATGTTCAAACCAAACCAACATGGACAAAAGATCTGAAAATCATGTGATGTGTCAATTGATGGAAGTGTGGAAGATCATCTGGTTATTGTATTTCTCTCCCTCATTGACAGATGACATGGATTTTGGTTTAATAGGCCTTCGTTTAAAGTGCCTTAACCTCTTTTTCTGCCCTGTGCACTTGATGCTTCTCATGAGGAGTGAACTGAAGAGGGCTATGATGAGCTGCACAGATCCAGAGGTTGACACCCCTGCAAAGCTCTGACATAACATGGCTCTCCTCTTTTCTGCAGAGAAGCAGGACCAGCCAGTTTTCTTCTAATCCTGCAGCAACAACATGTAAAATTACCTGATAGAGAGGCATGCAGATGCTATCAATCCATTCCAGCTGCAATCGTGGCAGTTCATCTTTCCTGTTCCGATCAAAAATAGCCTGAATGCGGTGGGGGGAGGAGGGAATATGTCACACTTTATTACTCTAGAGTATTTTACAGATGCTGCATTACCCAATACTTTGGATCTCGGATCAAATTGTTACAAACTGAACACTTTGAAAACCATAATCAATCTTTACACACATTTCCTTGTCTTTTGTCTTGGATGAAAAATAAACCATTTATACTCTGGCCCTGTTTATGGCACATGTAAGTTTAATTTATTTGACTGCTATACCATGTAATTCCTTAATGTCAAACAAATATACCATATTGTTGGCATTCGTGTTGCAGGGGAAAGATGGGGGCCGGGGGAGATGATAAAGACATGAAAAGCCGCTCCCACCTATTCCCTTCTTCCTGGAGGGAGCTGTGCAGAGCGATCCTTTATGTCGCTACTCAAACACAGATGTATACAGGTCAACGGGACGTACTCCTCAGGTGGGATTGCACTGTGGCTGAATGAGCCACAGTGTAGCATGTGAACTGCCCAAGGCAGAGAAACGCTCAGAGTCAACCGCTGAAACAGCTTAAGAGTCGCTGCAATGGGCAGGCCCTCTGGCAAGGGTAGGCACGGCTGGGCACCTGCCAAGGGCACCCACTCAGGATGGCTCCTTGGGATGCTTTTCCTCTTTGCCCCATGGCAACCTGCTTGTTCACCAGCCTCCTTCTGGTCTGGACAAAGTGCTGGTGAGGAGCAGCAGATGCTGCCTCCTGCCGGCTGTCGGCCTGTCAAGCAAGCGAAGGGTGGCCATAATAAGAAAGAGGAGGAGGAGCAGGAGCAGCTGGTGACCAGGGTGGTGAGAAGGCAGATTCTCTATTATGGAGATAGCTTGCCCAAGGACCCACAAAAACCTGAAGCTTGCACTGATCTTGCTACTGCCCCACCTGAGGCTCAGTGCACCCTACGTAGGCTTGGAGAGAATTCTACCATTGCCAGTTCCTGCACAGAATGACCTGATCAGCACCTTACTGAGTGGATCAGAACATGGGCATCCAGCTGATTTTGCATTTTTCTGTATGCTGTGATATTACTTCTTAGCAGTTGGACAATTCAGAATGCACGCGGCTATTATTTTGACAGAAAACACACAATTAACTGTGCCTTAAATATACATAGTTATATGCATCTTAAAATACATATGTAAATATAGAATGGCATCTTTTAAGGGAAGCTGAATTGAATTTTGACCCTTAACTGTGTAGGAGTTCAGGGATTAGCAAATAATTTGCATGGAAAGGTAAGAGCTTCCTGAAGAGAACTGTATCTATTTTTATACAGGCTGTTTGTAGAATTCTCCCTGATAAGGGATCCCTCTTATTCGACATACTGTGCTTCCTCTTAGGCAAGCTCCAAGCAGAGAGCAGGCTAAAACACACCTCACCCTGTGGGAATAACAGCCCCTCGATTTATTATGCACTGCAGCTTCTCATTGCATTTGCTCAGCTGCAGTATGGGAGGACCTGGACACAGTATTAGCCTTGCTAGCTAACACCTCTTCTTCAGATGTGGCTTAGCATCACTTTATACAGTCCGCAGAAATGTATGATAAGTTCCTCTTGGACTGGACGACTTCAGGCTGAAGGTGGGGTTGCAGCTTCCAGTGCCCCTTCAGGCTTTTACACATTTATGTAAAGCTGCTGGGGAAAGTCAACCACAGTTTTAGGCTAAAAGGTAATTTATTAATAAGATGTATAAAGGGCTCTGTATCTAAAAGAAGATTCCTGAGGGATGACCAGTAAAGATAAAAAAATCTAAAAACAGATGAATAAAAATATTCAAAATCCAGTTATTTTATAAATAAAAAATAAAACCATGGTTCATCACTCCAAAGACCGAACCATGTTATCACCTGCCTGACATCACCTGGAAGAGTATTCCAGAGGGAGGGAGGCAGTATACTAAACATTGGCCCTGTTTAGGGACTTGAAATGGACCCAAGGTCCACGCAGAACAGTCAGGAACAGAGCTGGAATGAGAGGGTGACCCATGAGGCGTGGAGCCCAAATCTTCCATTTGGAACCCCAAGTCTCTGGGAGGCTGCCTGTCCCCCCAACCCTGCTGTCCATGGGCACTTGCTAAGATGGAAGTACAGGGGCCCTGGTAAGTACCTAGCACTGTCTCAGACAAAGAGTGACTCATCGAGGCCATCCAAGGCCATCCGTATGTGGATGACATTTCTCATTTCCACCTGTGAAACCCAGGGAGGATGTGGAACTCTTAGACAAGTTTTTGGATACCATCTGGTATGAATACAGTGATAAAAGCCAGTATGTATCCATTTATTTACAGTGTAAATAACCTGTGTTTACAGTGTTTTCTTGTTTTGTAATATGATTGTTTCCAAAATGAGTGATTAACTTACCGAAGGTGTGAGTTTGAGCTCAGATCGTTCTCTGTCTCCTTGTTCAAAGAACTCACTTGTTACCAGTTCAGCTACCTAAAGCACATATATTATCAATCAGCTTAATACTGTTTGTTCAGAGCAATGCACTTCCTGACTAACGCTTTGATTAAGACAGACATACTTGATTTAACAACATACCCAATTCTGAATATATGGTTGCTTGGAATTCTTAATGAATCAGCTAGAATAGGGTAGCTATTTTAGAGGATACAAGAAGTTAAACCATACAGAACACTAAGACACATCACTAGAATAAGCTCCCAAATCATTTAGAGGTTGTCAAGAGTGTTAGACCAGACAGAGGTGTTCTGAAGGAAGTGGGCATACCTGGGGAACCTGGATGTGCACCCCGACTCTCTGTTGATTCACACCAAGCCTTTCTCACATTGGATCACTTCTGATCTGTTTAACCTCTGCAGCACTGACACCACTGGGGTCCTCAGGTCTGCCCATTTTTGCACAGAATGTATGAGAATTTAGTTTTTGTTCCCAAATCATGTGAACATGCCCCATCTGCAACCCCAAGTACAAACATGAACAGCAATGCTTTTCTCCAATAATTTTTTATAGATTCCTAAGTTCAAAAACGAACATTTTTCAAAAAATCCAAATGTTGACATATGGAGTTTTCATAATATGCACGTTATTATATTTTTATCAATAAGGGAGGCATGCACTCCTGAAAAAGATGCATGGAAAGGCATTTTCCCATTCAAAATATGTACCTTCCCAATTTGAATGAGCCAAAGGCCAGTTCAAAAATGAAAATAGGGGGAAGTCAAAGCAAGTTCTGAAATAACGTTGCAGCATGTAGGTAAGCTCAAAAAAAAAAAAAAAAAAAAAAAAGCTGGATCACCATCCCTACAATTATACTATGCATGTGCAAAAGTTGCTTTCCCCCGTTTTTTGCCCTAATCATTTTTAAGTGTTTTGCATGTATGGAAGTAAAATGCTGTTAATGGATGGAAGTGGATTTCTATCAATTTTACTTCATGAATTCATGCCAATACTATGTGCATGCCATATTTTCATGAAAATCCCGTCTTGGGAATTAAAAAGGGAATGGAAGAGCCATGATGCCTGGAAGTCCTTACTTGCTCGTTGAGATGTAGATGGAAGAAGGGGACTATTGTTCCATGCAGGGAAATAACTCAAACATCAGAAAAATAATTTGCAAAGTACTGGTGACTTCTGAGAATAAAATATAGGTTGCTGCTGAAGCTTTCTTCATAGTCAGCCGATCCCTGCCAAGTGCTGCCATCTTATGCTTCCACTGCCCTGCGTGGCAGCTGGTCATGTGGCCAGTCAGCCTCTTGGTGTGCATGGAGTCCGCACACGGGTAAGCCTCCGGCATGGCATTTCTTTCAGGGAAGAGCGACAGCTTAGTGAATGGCACACCTGCTCCGCATGCAGGAGGTCTAGGCTCAGGCCCCGGCACCTCTCACTAGGGCTTGGCACGACCCACGCCTTGAACATTCTGGAGAGTTTCAGCCGGTCAGGGAAGATGGTTCTGAGTGAAAGAGACCAAGGGTTCGACTTCCTCATGAGGCACATTTCTGTGCTTTCACGGACCATCTCTGCTGCAGTCTTGTGATGATGAGGAGGCAAACTACACAAGGAGGACCGATCCACCCGGTGGGCTGCCATGCACAACAAAGGACCACTGCTTGTTGTAAGCCCTGTGCTGCAGCAGTTTCAAGCTGCCTGCAGATGGCAGCTTGATTGAGAGGTGACCTGTAACACAACCTCATTTAATAAAAAATAACCTAGATTTTAAAAAGGATTTTGCCTACTTCAGCTTTGACTTCAACAATTGTTCACATAAACAATATATCTTGGTTGCACATGAACATCTAATTATGTCTCAAGATTGTTTTAACACTTTTGAAATATTTTATCTATTTCATTGATTCAATTGGCCTTCGAGATGGGTTAAGGCTATAAATCTTAATGAAAAAAACCTAAGGATTCATGTGAGTAACTTCTGGAAATAGGCAATGCTCTTCTACAAAGTTAATCTTAATGGATATTCAGGTTGTGCTGCTTCAATATGCTTACTTTTTTCAAGGAAGTGCTATTATTTTGCAAAGAGCTCGAAGAAATGGCTAGGCTCAAGCAACAAGTGAAATCAACATAACAGAGCCCTTGACTATCGATAGTCTTGCTGTCTCACTAACATGTTGTGCACATGTGCACAGTATGTGACCTTGGTTGAAGGCGGTATGAAAGATCACACTCTAGTTAAAATGGCAAGTCCCTCTGGAGTCGTAACACAATAGTTTTATCGTCTACTGGATCAAGGCTAGCCTAGTCCCCATCCTACATGCCCCCTGAAGAGAAGACATCACGCCCTGGTTGGCTCCAGCTTTGTTCTCCTTGACAGCTTTTTCTTTTGCTGACATTAAGAGTCTTTCTGCGTTTCTATGCAAGTCTTCTGTTGTGTGCCTGGGATTCCTCACTCACAATACTCTATAGGACATTAACCTCCTCCAGGGCCTCATCAGTTGTTTGCAATCATTTCCACAGCTTTTCTTTTAGTCTGAGGGAAATATTGTGTTATCTGTGAATGGTGGAATGAAATGCTGGTGTGTTCGTGCAATGCTACTATACCACAGTGGTTGTGTAATGGAACATATAGGAAGGCAGAGAAAGAGAAGGCCTCAAAAACCATTTTATTTTTGCAAAGAAAGCAGTAGCCTCAGTAAAGTAGCAGATAAAAAGCTGCATGGGGGTTTAAATCCAATGTCAGGCTAGTACGTGTCTGCTAGCCCCGTGGGAGTTTCTCCCTCTCTCTTCCACCCAGCTGCTCTCCAAACTGTCCCAAAATCTACTCTAAGGTGCTCCTCATTCGTACAGAGCAGATTTTGAAGCCGCCTGGTGGTGTCAGGAATTGCCCCCTCCTGCTTCCGCTGTCAGAAGTAGTTCTGTCAATTCAATGGCACTGTTGTATACAACCCGTAGACTGGGATTTATTTTATTTTATTTTTATGCGTGGGGAAATGAGGTGGTAGAATTCTGAGGTGCCATATAAATCCAGAGATGGGCAAGTATGTGGGCTTCAAAGCTGTTCTCCTTCTCCATGGGACCCATGGGGGGAGCACCCTCCCCGCGACAGCTATGCCATCTATGCTGCTGCAGACATGTGGCAGTGCACCAGTGATGTCAGCAAAAAGCCACCCATTCTCATCTGAGAGAAGGAGCATGGAGAGTGCATCTTGCTGGGAAGCAAAACTGCGCTCCCACGAAGCAACATTAATGCACCATGGAATGCAAATACGGAAGGACACAATTTTAAAATGGGTAATCTAAAAAGACAAATAGAAATACAGCTCTTCCGATAGAGAGATTGTGACACCTACAGGAAGCCACTAAATATTCCTTCATGGGGATATTAACTATTTGGTATAGTTATTAATAATGCTAGCCATCATTGAGGATTTTAGATAGCATGTATTAAATAACAAGACTCTATGAGCTGGAGGCTAAATTGAATGTTTTCTAAATGTTTAACCTTTTCTAAATGTTGTACTAAACAGCCTTCTGGTAGCTTTGGCAAGATTTCCTGTGCTTTGTCTAGCCATCCCTAGAAACTATCTTAAGTAACAACATGGAAGTAGAGATCTGAGCAATTGCCTCCAAAGATCCAAGCTAGGCACTTGCCTTTAATGTCTTCTAATAAGAGCAAACCTTAAGAGCCATCTACAAAATAATCAGGTACTCCAAGTATCTTTGAAATATCTCTTCTTGATATGAAGTGGAAAAATTAATCCTGAGGTTGCAATTCTGGAATCAAATGTCCTTCCATATTGCTTGGTGCCATCAAACAAGCAGAAACAACAAAAAGACTGGGCAATAAACCAGACCTAGCAGAAAATCTGTGCCATTTTTAAATGCAGCAGTACTGTTGTAAATCGATTGCCAGATTTGGCCTGTTCTGTGTCAGGCTCCTGGGAAAACCGTTGCATCAGTACCTCCTCTTTCTTGCCCTGCTATTAATCATGACTTGCCTGTCTTGAAATCTCCCACGGTTTGGTCGCTGCTCCAAGGTCACAGGCTGTCATTAGCATTGATCTGAAAAACAGAAATGAACAATGCAGACTGAACAAACCTTTGTTGCTTTTCTAAACAAATTCACCCTGGATACATAATTTGTTCTAAATCATCAGGATTAGCACCTTCTTCCCTTATAGAAGGGACGGCACACTTTGGAATCTCAATAGTCAGCACTGTTTTTATGTCATTAAATATAGGAAGGCTAATACATTATAGATAATCAGATAATGAATTTTCAATGCTATCCGTTGTGTGTTACAAAGGAAACATGTATCATTGCAGACTAACTACTAATTTTGCTGCACTTTGACTAATAAAGTCATATTTATAATATACAGGGCAGCTGGGTTTTTGACATGATGTAAGAAAAGGAGTTATGACACAATAAATACAGATTGGGCTAATCTATTTGCCTACTTATAAGTGACTACTGTGGTAAGAGAAAAACTATAACCATGAGAGGCATTCCAGACAGTGTTTAAGCAGTTTCTATGGTTCCTCTGCAGTAAAAATTCAGGATTTACTGTAAGGATTACATTGTAGTTTAATACCTGGCTACAATTATGTTTTATAAGTGTTGGGAGAAAGAAACTATTCAGCTGGAGAAAGCATTTATGTACAGTACATGATGCATATAAAACTGTGAGAAAGCCCAAACGAACAGCCAGGACACTGGAAATAAAGAAGCAGCAAATATATTGCTCTGGCTCTAAAATCAGGGACGAGTGAAATGACATGGAAAAATAGGAAATGACCCCACACCTCGCTGAAGTGCAAAAGGCTGAAGAATCTTTCCTGTCACATGAATAGCTCTTTTCAGAGCGATGTGTGTGCCACGTAGGAGGGCCTGGGGGCATTCTTGCTTCTGGGCATCCCTGAAGCCTTTACTCTTTCCTGGGTTTCCCGCTGGGTGCAGAGAAGGCGGTGAGCTCTGCAGAACTGTGGGGACTGCAGCGGTCAGGCTGAGTGGCTGTGCCTGGTCAGGCCCTGGGGCTGGCATAAGGGCTGCCTGAGGAAGCAGCCAGAGAGGACCCCCTCCTGGACACGGGCAGTTCTCTCACTTAGCATGGGCTTGAGCTAACTGTTCCCTGCAAATATGTGTGGGAAAGCTCAGAAATGCTGTGTGGCGAGTAGGCGGGGAAGCGTCTCTGGGCAGGAGATGCCTACCCTTCCTTCCTGTCGCTTTCCGTCCCCTTTTCTTGCAACTCCCCCACATAAGCCGCTCCCCACCACTACCCTATGGAAATCCAGTGAGACATTTGCAAGGGCAAATAAGATGTTGTAGATGTAGGTGCAGGAGGGAAAGGTTAACACAGCTATTTCATTTCCTTGCCTGTACCTTGCTATTTCTCCACTGAAAACTGCACCACGAGAGACAGTCGCTTTCTTGTTATAACAACGTTGGCCATTCTAATGTGTGATGGAGACTAAGGCTTAGATGAGTCTTGTCTTAGGGCAAAACACCTTGGACAGTTCCTCCCCCGCCTCCCGTTTAGAGCCCATTACTTTCATGCAGTCGTTCCTTGTGCATGTTTCTAATGCTCTGGCGGCTTGATAAGTCTGCTTAGTTTGGTGGCATAATTGGCCTGTGGGCTGATGCATGCATCACCTTTGCTAGAGAGATTCCTTCCATGATGGCCCGGAAAGAGTCCGATATCCTGGAAAATTCTGAATGGGAAAAACCAGTAGGGGAGATGTAGTCTACGATCAGCACGAATGGTGCATGCGAAAGGGCAACAGAAGCGGGCCTTGGACCTGCGAGAGAGGGGGCCACCTATCTGAGAAGAAGGCACTGGGAAAGAAGGCGATAATGAGAGCTGCAGGCACTTGCAAGGTTGCTTTCAGCTCTGCTGTGTGGCACCAGGCATGCTGTTGTGCCGTCTATCCCTGCTTACCATCGATGTGTGTCTCTGGAAACAAACCCAGGTATTACAGGAATGCCACCAGTCTCCAGCAACCTCTCTTTTCAAAGGAAACCAAAACTGTTCCTGGAAATTCTCACCATGGGGTGTGGTGGGGATAGCTATAACAACACCACAGGCATGCTTATCAAGGCAGCAACCATGGAAATCATATGATGACTCTCCAGGCTCTTTCCAATGGCTGCTAAGAGCATCTGGCAGAGGCTTGGGACTTTGATCGCCATCTCTGTGGTAGACACTTTTAAGCACTGCAGTCGGGGGTGCTGCAGGGCACTTGCAAAATTCTGGGGCTGGGGCCATGGGAAGAAAATCTGTGCAAAAGCTGCATCTTCTCATATATGCAAATGCAGAAATAATTACTTGGATTTATGTAAACATTACAGGCCATGAAGTGAGCCAATTAATTACTCATCCAAATCACTTCAAATGAAATAAAAATTTCTATCAATTTGCCCCCCCACCACCCTAGATCATCTCAAATAATAGTTCCTCTTCAATTAAAATTAATTTGCAATGATGTGAAAAATGCAAAAAAGAAAGTGGCTGGTAAGTTTTTTCATGAGCCCTTTGTCTTCGTGTGTCTCTCTTTTTCTCATGCACACACATGCCTACCTATTGAAAAACGCCAACTTTTGCATCAAAATTTGGAAAGCTTTTGAAAATTTGCTAATCCAAAACCAAGTTAAGAGCAAACCAGTTATTTTTTTCAGTTTCTACCCCAATCCTGCTTCATAATGACACAAATTAGTTTATAATTCCATGGGAGGAAGGGGTCACAATGATGGGTGAGTAGAGAGAGAACTGCCGATTAGCACAGAAGAAAGTGAACAGGGAAGAAAATTCAGAAGGAAAGCAGAAAGGAAGGTTGGCAAGAAGGAGATGGCAGAGAGGGGTGGAGATGAGAAGGAGTGGGCTAGGACTGGGAAGCATGAAAGAGAAACAGGAAGCCCCCGCCCCCCAAAAAAGCAAAAAGGAAAGAAGAGGCAGGGAATGGAAAGAAGCATGGCTTGTTTTCTTTCCTCTTCCTGCTCAGGGTGGTCTCTCCACAGGCTGGGGACTTGTGACACTCATTGTAAACAGCTATACACAGAGAAGTCCTAAGTAGGGAATACTAGGAAGTCCCACACTTGGGTCACTTCTGTGTGCCAAAATCCAGGCACAGAGCACTGCAGAGACCGGAAAACTGCCCCACCCCATGCAATTAAACTTAGGCGGTGAGGGGAAGCTTTAATTGGCACACTAGCCTGGTTAGCCAATAGCACTTCATCCAAGAGAAAGTTCTCACTTACCGGAATATCTCTCGCTGACTTTTAACTGTCCAATTGTAGTCACCCTTGTTGACAAGTTCAAAAAACTCATTCCTCTTCCTACAAAAAAACAGTAGGAGGAAATGCATTTCTTACATTTGGTCATATTTTTTCTATGAGGAGGTCACACAGTTCTCCAAATATAGAAGTCTCTTCATAAAGTTCTGCATGGCCTATATCTCTCTATAAATTAGTAGGATTCCCACCATTGCAGGTACCAGTGGAGATCAGTCTGTCTCTGCTCCAGCCTACTCAAATTAAAATTATAATTGCAAGATCATTTTACAGCAGGCCATCAATTTCATGGTCTCCTGATTATGCACTGAGAACAACCAGGCAATAAATGATGGAGCCTCATTACTCTATTTTTATAGAAGGATCAAGTGTATTTTAAAAAGTATTTGCATGTTAGAAATAGGTGAGGTTGCCAGTTCCCCATCTTTGACCCTTAGTCATGTGCTAATAATCATAGCTGATCAATTTCAACGTGTGAAATTTGATTTTTTTATTGCTATGCATTAAAACCAAACTAAATGTAAAAGTCACCTGATAACCAAAAACATGAAGCCTACTTAAAAGAACCCATATATGAAGCAACTGTTAGGAAGAACCTGTGTAGGAGAGCAGATCAAGTGTTGGGCTTAAGCTGGAGAAACTCGAGTTCAAATCCCTGCTCAGCCAGGAATCTCATTCTTCATGGAAGGGTACTATTGAATAGATCTTTGTATGCCATCTTTGAGAAAAGGTTGGATACACGTGGGAGTATTAATAAGAATATAATGAGAATACTTGCCATGTGACTTCTTTTTCAAATCAAAGTGACTTAAAATGGTTGCTGATTTTTTCTGATTTGTGGTTATGAAAACTTATTTAATCTAGAGATAAAACTGTTCTAAAACATTGCATATTTGCAGAAAAAAACATACACTTTCTTAAATATATTTGGGCTCAGTCTCTAGAAAAGATAGAAACTCTCTGCTCATGTGATGAAAAGCCACAAAATGTAGTTGGTTTGCACATCCATTCACAACAGAGTTGTTAGAGACACAGAGAGCTGATGACATTGTCTTCCATTTGCAACCTTTCCTATGTTATCCTGCCACTTCTTTTGCCTTTTCTTTTACTACAGAAAATCCATTAAAGAGAAAAAGACAAAATACTTGTACAATGTCTTCTGATTGGTAGGTAAGAGCCTTTATCTAGAAACACTCTAGGTGTTTCTTTGCTAATGTTAGAAACCTTTGAGCCAATACAAGGGAGTTGGGTATGCTTGATTTTAAAGGAAATAAATCAAATAATAACTGAAACCTGGTGGAATGGAGAGCAAGTAGGACACAATCATATCTGAATGCAAACTCAATAATCCTAGAGAAATCTATTGTAAGAAGCATTTAATAAATAAAGCAGAACTTATTGATAAATCATTGAGTCCAGATGGCACCCATCTGGAACACAAATCTGAAATTGCTCATCTTCTAACACAAAATATGTAACATGTCCCTAAAATCACCCTCTATATCAGAAGACTGGAAAGTGGCCAGTGTAGCAGCTATTTTAAGGAGGGTTCTAGGAAATTACAATCTGATTAGCTTAACATCTGCTCTGGGTAACTGGCAGAAAGCATGATCAAAAACAAATTTAGCAGTTATGGGATACAAGGAGAAGTCTTCGTATATAACTGGTAAGAACAGAAATAGAAGAACAGGAATAAGTGACCATTGATGCTCAGTATAAAGAAGAGTAAAGTGATGCTTAAGATGGTTTGAGATTCAGGAGAGTCGAAAGGAAGTACTTCTGCACATGGTGCCTCGTTTAACTATGGAACTTGCTACCACAGAATAGAGCAAGATATTACATGGTGCAGCATTACATGTGTTTCAGGCAAGTACTGACAAGAGGGTTATGTCCTGTAGACTGTCTTTCAGTCTGCCACAGCAGAAGGCAATGACCTAGAAGAGCCATAAGGCAAGTGCTATCTGAAAATGGCATTGACAGGATGGCTTTTAGCTACGCCAACGACAGAAGGCAATCCTGCAAGCAGAGTACCAAGTTTTTGCTATTCATTGGATTTGCTTTTGATTCAGATGCCTTTCATCTTTATTCTGGAGAAGCCTGGTTGCTATTCTTGCATCCTGTTACCCGTAATGCTTACAGTGTCCACCCAAATGGGCCATAACATACTCTAATGTGCTTGGTGTCACCACTGTGGTTCACAGTAGAAGCAAATGACCTTGTAAGCTTAATCATTAAAAGGATAGAAGAACAATTTTGACACTCCCACCCTTTGATTACTGCTGAACTTTCTGTCTACTTAATATAAAGTTTGTGAGTCCCCTAATGAAGCTTTGGCTCATACACTTTTCTGTACATTTTGCTTTGTACGGATGACCCAAGCCTTTGCACATTCTAAAAGCTTACTTTCTAATTTAATGCAAAGTCACACAGGCAGAAAAGAAAAATCATTTCTCTCATGCAGATTCATAGCATGATGGCCTAACAACCCCTCTGAGAATACTGAGCGTACTGCAGTGATGACAGTTTTAATGGCTCAAACTAGCTGGCACATTGGCTTTAAATCAATCTTATCCTTAACTGTTCATAGGCAACTCTGCAGTGCGTCAGCACTATGCAAGGTGTTTTTGTACAGTGTTCCTTCTTTCATTTAAAAGCCTGCAAATGAATGCACATTTTTCTTCCCAAGGAAACAGAGGCACCAATTGAAAAGCCTCGTTCCCCATTGTTTAGTCTTCCTCAAGTAATATATAATAATTAACAAGGAAATAAAATCTTCCAGCTGTGACCAAAGTGTGACCTTCTCACACCCATCTTGACCAATTTACATTTTTATATATTTTTAAGAAAAGACAGGCTGATGTGCATTTAGATAAATGTGGTTGGTGCTAAACCTGACGTGCACTTCTACTATTCTTCTTCGTGCCAGAGTCAAACAGGTGAACAAAGAAGGTTACAAACGGAGCAGTCTTGAGGATTTAGTAGGAGGGATGAGGCTCGGTGGCTTTTTAACCATTTGACACATTCTAAGGCCTAGGAATTGCTCTGCAGAGTCAGAGTAGCCGGTCCTACATTCCGCTTCCAACAAATGGCCAATTGGACTCCTCAAGGAGGTGACCCATCAGGTGCTTCTAGAACAGGGGTCCTCAAACTTTTCCACCAGGGGGCCAGTTGAAAGCTGCTGGTGCTAGGCACGGGCCGGAAAGGTGGTGCCTGGTCGTGCGTGCGGGCTGGCGCGGGGGTGGGGGCGGAGTATGTGGGCACACACGCTGAGGCGGGGGCGGGGTGCGTGGCGCAGCAAGGTGAGGCGAGGCATGGGCGGGCACATGTAGCGAGGGGAGGCGAGGCATGGGTGGGGGCGGGCACGCACCACAAGGCGGGCGCATGAGGCAGCAGCTCGCTCGCTTGGAGATCATTTTCTCCGAGCAAGCAAACCGCTGCCTCCCTGTGCACGGGACGAGTTGGGCAGCGGCGGGTCCAAATGGGCATGGCAGGCAGGATAAATGGTCATGGCAGGCTGGATTCAGACCTCGGGCCATAGTTTGAGGACCCATGCTCTAGAAAGTCCACAAGCAGGACACGAAGGCAGTGGTCATCCCTCACCATCACCCTCCAGAAACTGAAATTCAGTGTCCTACCACCTCTGAAATTGGAGGCACCATTGAGCTATCATACCTAATCACTATAACCTGTCTTCATTAATATCTCTAAACCCTCCTAAAGTAATCTAAACTAGGAGTAATCATGACTTCTTGGGCTGATTTACATCTGCGTGTACATCATTTGATGACCAGGCCTGCCAGGTTCTTTTCTCTTTCACCCCAGCAGAGCTCCTTTTTCTTTAACAGCTGAGTGAAAGATGAAAGCTGAACAACTGAATGTTTCCTCAGCAAGAAAACTGGTGTTAAGAAAAGCTTCAGCTGGATAGCTGGTGGAGCAGCAGCTCCCTGGCAAGATGCAGTTCTCATGCCTGCCCTTCACTCCCCCTTAATTTTACCTATCCGTTTTTATTTCCACGTCAGAGGTAAGGTCTGCAGGGAAGTCGCATTCCTATTTGCATCATCCCGATGACTATCCAAGCAAACTCGAATTGAGCTGCTCTGCACACCCTGCTGCTCGATGCCAGGGAAGTGAGAGGCAGGCCTGAAATGCATGGAGAGACTAAGGCAGGACTCAGGTGTGGCCCTGGGACTCTAAGGTGTGGCCCTGTTCCCAGTCCTTGAAGGGGGCTCTGGTTTCACTGGATGGGAGTTTCTTTTTAATGTAACTCCAAGTGCCACACACTGTCTGGCACACAAACCAAGCCATTTTCATGGAGCTCCAAGACATCAGTATAGAGATGGGGTACTATAAACTTGAACTCCTCCCCGCCCCATTTAACAACAACGAAAGCTTAGCAAGCCATGACAGGGACAAGAAGAGAACGCAGCTCTCTGAAATTTTAGCTTTCCACTAGGTAGGGAGTTTTCCTGTATTAAGCACTGTGTGCATTAAAAAACTGAACTGACCATGACATGTGTAAAACTTTCACAAAGCTTCAAATACCATGAATGCTAGAGTAAATAATTCAAATGATAATTAAATACTAATTTCTAGTATTATGTGCCCTGTGCCCTCACTGGTATTTAAAAGGTCATTAGGGGCTGTAGCTCTTTCGGATTTTCATTTGTCAAAATCAGAAAATGCCAATACCTACTCAAAATAAAGAGTGAGGTCTGTTGCCAATATCGACTTCTTCAGAAGCTGCATAAGGTCACTGTAATCCTTGGAGGACAAGTTAGCAAAGATGTTGTGACCCTGTAATGAAAGAGATAGCAAAGCTAAATAGTGCAGAATCGATATAGGGTTTCTGAAAGGTTTTCCAATAACTTTGCAACGTGTGTCATTGCTACAGCAAATCTTATTTTTTAATTCATAATGAACTCATGACCAAAATATTTCCTTCAGCCACTGTAATTAAGATGTTTTCCTGGATTTTTCTGCTAGTCTGAAATTATAGGCAATTAAATAAAATGACTACACTCATAAATTTGATGCAGGCAATTGATAAACAACATACCTCTTAATATTCTTGCATTTCCCTAATGACACTGGAACTATACCTTGAGAGCTTTGGTGTTTTCTGTTGCAGAATTATATGTATGAACAGAAACATCACAAATTCCTTTTAGAATGACGGCTCAGTGCTTAACATGTGCAGATGGACCAAAGAACCAATTTCAGTGGAACTTACCTTTCCCAGAAATGATTCTAAGGAGTGCATTATATGTTTCTTTGGTAACTGGTCTCACACTTTTTCCAGGATTGCAGCTCACTCATCCAAAAGCATGGAGAGAACAACTCTTGACTAGCTACCTCATCCTTATCAGGTTGGGGCACTCAACCATAAAACACATATGGGCAGCCCTTGCTCTCCCCGTGGCTTGTAGGAGCCCTGGAAAGTCCCACACTCTTTTCCCTGCAACCCAGCTGATCAATCTTCTACTAGGCAGGAGAGGAGAGACTTGATACTGCTATAATAGTGATCTTGAGATGAGGAGAGGCTTTGAACTTACCTTACCTCCTCCTCCTCCACCGTGATCCAGATGCTATCGGGACTGCTGTGTCCTGTTGTTAATATAGCTCTGGATAAGGATTATGGTGTAACTTCATCATCTCTCCAGCAATCTTGCTACAGAGGCAGTAGTAGTTGCCAGAAACACTGTGTAAATGGCCATCTAGATTGGGACTGCTGGCGTGGGAAAGGCTTTAATCTGACCTCCACCCCAGCAATCCCAATGCTGAGGCCACTGTTTCCCTGTTGCTGATACAGGGGGCAGCATCTCAGACCCAGATCACTTGTTCCCTTGCTTCTTCACTCTCATCAGCCCCAACCCAATAGTAACTCCTTATACTGCACTTTCTACATGAGGTTTTTAATCTGCTGAATCTACTTTCAGTTTTGTCACAGAATTGAGTTCTACACAATCTGAGTTCTACACAAAGAGCTTTTCCTTCCTGCTTTTCTGCTACACAGCCTCTGGGTATAGCAGCATAACAATTAAACAAACCAAGAAATATACTTTCTTTCACTTTCAGAAGTAATACTCCATGTCCTCCTTCCTTCCTTCCTTCCTTCCTTCCTTCCTTCCTTCCTTCCTTCCTTCCTTCATTATATTTATACATTGCCCCCATAGTCCATACAGCTCTCTGGACAGTTTACAAACAAACACTTATTAATAAATGCCTTGGGTAGAAAAGATAATTATGCCACAATGTTTCCAAATCCTCACATTTCAAGAGTGGCTTGGCAGGCAATGTGGAGGCATGTTGAGAAGAAATTGGAAGTCCCATTGTATTAGTAACATATCTGATGCATGGCTCTTTGGATCAACACAAAGGGTATGAAGAACACGAGCAATTTAAAAATGACGGCAAACATAAACCGCTGTAAGTTTTGTAGAGGGGAGGGCAAGAGGGAAAAGCTACAATGCTAAACCAAATTGGCAGAACTTTGTAAAATCATAATGCACATAAAATAACACAATCCTTGGTATTTCTTCACCAGTCTTAGCAAAAAAACAAAAAAAAAGAGCATAGATTCTGATTTTTGGAGGCAAACTGGGGAGAAGGGTGTCATTTAGTGCTGCGGAAAGGGAATGTTAAGAGAGATAAAACAAATCCCTACTGTCTACCACACAAAATGAAAACAGTTGTGTCTGGTCTGATGGTCTTATTTATAATGAATACCAAGGAAGTGGTGGGAGAATTTTATCATGGCCTCTACAGTTACTGCATTAAGGCAGAAGCAATGACACCCTCTATTCCAGGAGATGTATTTGTTTATTTATCAGGCAAAACATTGACTGGAATATTCAATTTGTAATAGTATAAAAAATGCAGAAAAATTGTAACAATACTCTTGAGCTGTTTTGCTATATTGAACTATTTTATCTGTTCTGGGAATTAACATTACACTTGTCATATCATAAAACTCAATCTCAAACTTTCAAAGAAATTCAGAGCAGAACCCAGAACCTATTTCTTTATGTTGTCAGAACCAAAAGAAAAAACTAGTAATAGATGCACTATAAAGATTCTAATAATTTATTTTAAGATACTTATATTTACAAAAGAAGGTTGGGCATTCCGGTGGCTTTGTACCTCACTCTGAAGAATCATGACAGCATGGTTAAAATGATGGTGCTCCAAGGTAGCAGACGTCCCGTACAGCTGAGCCAAAGCTGATCCACTCCTAAAAATGCAACACACAAAGGATCAGCACTGCTACATTCAGCCTGTGTTCCTGAGCTATGTTAAGCTATGAAAGAAATGCTGTCAGTAATTTCACCAGTCATAACAAAAATCCCTTGAAGAATATCTCACATATAGCCATGCTGACACTTATTTCCCACCCGGTTGTCTATCATTCCAGTGGCTATCAGATGGCTATTTCGATGTTGCACCAATCATCTTCTTACCCAGAGAAAACATAAAACCAGTCCTCCAGAACTGTTATGTTAATTTAGGATAATTTGCTGAATTTATCTGAATATAGTTTGCATTTCTGATCACCAGGTGGAGTAGTTTGGTGAATGGGATGTGCTCTTCCCTCAAAATGCTTCACGGAAGTTGAGATACACTGGAAGGGCTTTCCATCAGAGAACTATGACTTGCTTGGACTTCTATCAGAAAACTGGGTCATAGCATATGGCATATAAAGATGCTACATAAAGGAAAGATATATTCTCTGAATAACAGGTTGGCATGAACACAAGTGCAAGCCTTTGTAGTAGTGGCCCTTCAATGCATGAACTCCCTCCCTCGTGGGATATACGCCCAACTTTCTCTTTTTTAGATGGGCCCTACATATTTTGTTTTATTTATTTATTTCATTCCACTTTTCTGCCACCCCATAACCCAAAGGGGGCCTGGGAGGCTTACAAATGCTGAAAACAGCATATAACACAATTGATAAAACAAACAAAATAGATAAAACAGTAAAATTAACAGATTGCAACCATCTCACAAATAAAATTATAAAACCACACACACACGATAAAATACAACCAACGAATTAACAGCCAAAATTAAATAAATAATCAACAACCAAATATACATTATAAATTAAATAAACCAAAGGCTTGTTTGAACAAAACAGTTTTCATCTGACATCTAAAGGAAAGCAGAGTTGACGCAAATATATCCCTGGGGAGCTGATTCCAAAATCTGAGTGCTGCTGCAGAAAATGCCCCCGTCCTAGTCTTTCCCCCCTTGATCTCACTGGGAGTGTGTATTTGGAAGAAGAGTGCAGAGGACAATCTAAGTGGGTGGGTAGGAATATACGGAGAGAGGCACTCCTTCAGGTACTCCGGTCCCAAAGGTTACTTCAAACCATTCTTGGACAGGAATTTGGGGCAGTTTAATTTGTTACCACTCTTGCTTTAAGTGCTCTTAGAATAATGTAAGATATTGTAATGTTGTAATTCTTGATTTTTAAAATGTTGTTAGCATTTAAGCTTTCCACCTTTTTTAAAAGAAAAAATATTTAAAAGTTTATCTATTTTTGTTTTACTATCCAAGCCAGGCTGCCTCAGCAAGTGGCTTTTATTACACACAAGAGACTCAAGAGAGCTGGTCTTAGCAGCTGAGAAAACCAGTTTTTGATCAAGGTGGCAAATTACAGAGAACTGATAGGGAAATTGTTGCAGCACTCCCATTCAGGCCTCCCAGGCTCTGCCCTCAAGGCGATCCTTTTTGAGGAGTCTCTTGGGTGGAGAAATGCTTCAGCTGACAAGTGTTGCTCCTCCCTCGTTTTACGTCTAACTAACCTATGACTCTCAGTTCCACCTCCTCCTTTTCACTCTGGGTTGGCATCACTGCAGTTCAGAATGGGTTACTGGCCTATCAGCAATAGGCCCACCTAATATGAGCGGCTCTGGCCTGGCAGCCTCAGCCCCCTCCTCATCTGAGACCAAATCAACGCCTGTGCCTTCTCGGGATGCAGCCCTTGCATTTGTGTTGCATTATTTTTAAGTGAAAATGGGGAAAAAAAAGTTTTTGGCCTGGTACCAAAATGAAAAAAGTGTTGGTACCAGGCAGACCTCTCTGGGGACCCCATTCCATAACCGGGGTGCCACCACAGAGAACAGTAATCTACAGCTCCATTCTATCTATGCAGAAGTACACATACACAGGATTCTGCATTCCTAGGTAAGAGTGTGTGAAGTTGCAGTCTTAAAATACAATTTCTGGATGGGTCTATATCAAGATAACTTTGTATAGAATTGCAGAGTAGAAACTTACTGAGAGTGACTACTGCTAACTTGAATCTATTTTGGCCCCCTCTTACTGTTGAGGCTTATGAAAATATCACTTCTGATTATAAAAATATTTGGATATCCCTGAGGCAAGTGACTGATACGTCCTCTGTATGGTTAAAGGTGTGCCTGCTCTTCTTGGAGGAATCCTGCTGCCTGTTTTTAAGAAACAGAATGCTAAGAAGTAGATGGACTATTAGTTTGGTCTAGCAAGATTCTCATCACTTTTAATGCAGATATTTAAAATCAGGGCATATAATTTCGCAATAAAGAGTTCTCTTGCATGTGGTAAAATCTTTTCTGCTCTCTATGTGCTGATAAATACAGGTAAATACATCTTTGCAAAGTCAATAAAAGAAGGTGGGAAAGCTATTAAAAAGAAGTTAAAACAAACCTATAGGTTCTTTACCATTAAAAGCATGAAAGTATGAAAGAGGAATGCACACAATCATGTCCACACTCATCCCACTCTATCCCTGCTTTTAAAATGTGTGCCAGAATATGAATGATCATGCACAGGTGTATTTGAATTTGTAATTCCTGAAAACTTATGTCTGTCATTCCTGATGCAGCAAGTGATACACAGGCAGAAGTCTGCTTAAGGATCTCCTTAGCAGCACTGGAGTCTCTATGTGTCTAAATATATCCATGTGGACAGAGACACCTAAATACAGGATGCATACGGCACATACGTTTATTTATTTATACACATATTTATAGGCTGCCTCTAACTGCCAAGGCCTTCCTAAGCATATATTAACAGATGCACAAAAATGCACTCATAGTCCATCTAGCCATGACTCTTTTTAGGGTGGGTTTTGCATTTAACTTTGTTTTGTGCCATTGTACTAGGTAATAATACATTAGCAGAATTTCCAATGAATAAACTAGACACAGGCACAAAGAAATCCCACATGATTTCTATCACCCTTATTCTAAGCAACAATGTGTATTAACAGAAATGATGAAGTTGTACTAGTGTATAAAACAGTGGAGGTCTGTATACCCAGCAGTGGGATAAACTCCCTACTGGTGAAACTGCAAAAGGGCATTAGAGAGAGTGTCCCTTTTCTCCTGTTTGTTTGCTGAGGCGATAGAAATGCTGGTCCGTATGAGAAGGGCAGATCCCAGGATCAAAGATATTGCAGGTAGGGACCAGGAACATCTGATAAGTCTGTTTGTGGAATGCACTCTTAACGTCCTTTAAATGTGGAAGAGGCCATGCCTGCACTTACAACGAGTCTGTCTAAACTCAAAAGAAGTTTGCGATTGTTGATAGATTATAGTAAATCAGTGCCGTTATGTATGCATCTTTCCCAAGCAACCTCATTGCTAAAGACATCATCCAAACAACAATATGGAACTATAGCACAACAATTAACAACATTAAACAAGAACTGTATAACTGAATGCATCCTCACTAATTAGGATAGCATCTTTTAAAATGATGCTATTGCCCAAATGATAGTTCCTTATTCTAACTGATTTTCACACTGTTGTCAGAAGCAAACTTCAAAAAGTGGCAAAAAATGGTGGAGCAAAACAACAATAACGACAAGAAGAGCAGGAGACCTAAGGGAGCAGTGTACAGGCAACAGAAGCAGGGTGGGTGGCCAATACCTAATCTTAAACTGTCTTTCAGATTCACCAGCTTATCCCCATTTTTCATAAGGATTAAACAGTTCCATGGGTAGTAATGAAAACCTCTTATAACACCTACCAACATGTGATATTTCTGCCTCTCAATAACATTTTAGCTTTTTTGCACAGACCACAAATATAGAGACCAAGGGCCAGGGTCTTTAATCCTGCACGTCACTGCTAGATCCCTTTGTAGATCATCAGGCATTCCAGGCCCTATACAAACATCCCTCATATAGGTCAAGGAAGGAAAGGGGTTTATACCATTTATGGGACATGGTACTAGCAAGGGAAGCCAATTTATATGGCAACTTTAGAACAGATTTTCTTAGGAGAACAGCTGAAGTGGAAAGAAAAGATCCAGGCTGGCACTTTCACATTAAAAAAGTAAAATAAAATGGGACCCCCAAGGTCAATAACCATTTTTGACTGGGCAGTATAGCTGATTTGAAGGGGATGGTACTGTCTATCCAGGGATGGCTATTACAGGATATTTATGGAAGCACACATGGTTTGAAAATCCAGGGGGAAATGAAATGGACCTCCATCTGCAACTGTTCAAGACCCAATCAAAACAGCTTGAGGTATCCCCCCACCCAACTCCGAGAAACGTTTCTGCACAAATTAGAGAAAGCACCATTATAAACTGTACATAGATATAATTTTATCCCAATCAAACTGGCCAAATTTTACCCAGGATTGTCTGCATTATTCCGCAGGAGCTTCACTGGAAAGCTAATATATATCTTGTGGGTGTGTGCAGTGGTTTTTTAAAATATTGGTGGGTAATACTTTGATTTTTTGGGAAAGCAACAAACCGAAGCATCAACTTCTGTGGTTCCTTAAATTTATTACCTACATTCATGGGTGTAGATAATGAATTCTAATGCACAAGGCATTGTTCAGAATTTTATTATAGGTATCTATCTGGAACTGGCAGCTCAATGGAAGACAAGTGATCACCTCTTGGAATAGTGGTGGTTGCATAGTACTGCAAAAACAAACTGAAGGTGTTGAAGCAGGTGGTGGCTAAAGGCTGAAGCCAGCCAAACATTCTGCATAAATTCTGGAGGGATATATTATGACATGACTCTGAAATTGTATGATCTGTCCCTTAAATGAATGTAGATTGTGCCTGTTATAAAGTCACAATAAACAAAACATGGCAATGTGATTTTAAAAACAGAATGGATGGTATAGCAGGAAAACAACACGAATATTGCAACCCTGTACCTGTCTAGTCAGAAGCAAGTCCCATGGGATTTATTCCTAGGCAAGTGTGTATAAGATTACGGTCTTAGGTCTTCTGTCACAGGTTTAGCTTTTTTGTTTAAAAAATAATTCTGCTGTAATATCTTTATCTATATCTGTATAGATATACACACATGCAGCTGCAAATCATTTAAAATGCTAAGTTGAATCCTTAAAGGGAAACTATGAAATGTAATTACAAAACTGAGAATTGTTGGGATTGGAGTGTCACAATAGATTAATGTGCACCAGTATTTCACTTCTGGGACACAGCCTAAAGCGACAAGATATGGTTTGTTGGGGGGTGTGCGTGTGTGTTCAAAGAAATGTGTATAAGAGATTATGCTAGGAATGAGAAGAAATCTCCTAGGAGCTTATACTACAAAGCTGCACCATACTGGTATTTAATCATCATGGGGCAGCTGTAATGGGGGCAGGGTTGGGGCAAGAATGACTTGGGGACGACATCCCTAGAGAAAACAGCAGCGCCGAAGTGCATTAACAAAGCAATTTCAGGGAGCTGTGATGTTGCTTTCAATCACACGCCTCTTGATCTTTCATCATGCACAATCCTGGCACTTAGAGAGTAAAAGGAGAAAACGGAGGGTCATGTTAGGCTAGATTCAAGGAATCTGCTTGTGAGAATCACAGACACCGCTTCTGCCATAACATCTTCTGTTTGCACACAGTTCCCAAAATGTGCCCTCAGTGATTTCAATGGCATTACAGAAAGACTTTATTCTGTCTCAACAAATCTAAGGGACAGCAAGCGACAGCCATTGACTGATGGGTCTCCTCCTATGGATGGCTGTGGCATGCTAGGAGTTGGAGGACTTCTGTGTGTAGACATGCACTGAGGGGCACCCTTAATCACTGCAGGAAAAGCCAGAAGCAGCCCCTTCAAAGGTTTCAAAGGAACAGGAAGAACTTCACTGAAGTGTGAACCACCGCTCCAAGGAAGAAGAGAATATACAGCATTAAGTACAGCATTACATGAGCAGAATTCCACATGCACAATCAGTCTTGCCTTACTCTCTTCCCCCTGCATCTCCACATCTGTTCTGGAGGGAATGCCGAACCCATGGAATATGTTTAGGGGTGGAAATGGAGAGTGGAAATCCACTTTGCTGGTGGCTTCCTTTCCACTGGTGGACACCCAGCACTGGAGCCACCCATGATGAAGGGAATTCAGTCTCTCAGGAGTGAATGCCCAGACCCCTTTATTGTGTAAGACACCTGCACATTCATCTCACTGTGAGTCTATAAACACAGAGGGATTTCTACAAATCCAACAACTTCATTTCTCCTACACAGCTGGTGTAGAATGCTATTACTTTACCAAAGCCTAATCCAGGAGTTGAAACATTCTCTGCCTCAGATAAGGGTGTCACACAATTATTACATCATCATCATCATCATCATTTCATTTGTATACTGCGCAGAGCCAAAGTTCTCCAGGTGGTTTACAACAAATTATTAAAAATACAAGAGATTAAAACAGCATGTATTAAAAATTAATTTAAAATAACAAAAGAACACAACTAGTGGATAACCAAGGATTCACTGCTGGGATTACTGCAGAAGCCGATGACCCTTTTATCTCGCCCAGACAACTATGGTGCTCCCTCAGTGGCAACTTCTCTGAATTTGTCCCATGCTACTCCTGGCTCACAACCCCCAGTCTTTAGCAACACACACTGAGACTGAACTAGAGCTGAACACAGGCAAAGAACCCACTCGTATGACAAGGATTCTTTGTGTATATATTAGGTTCAGGTTCAAGTCACAGAAGTGCCCTGGTGAAAGGGCATGTATGATACTTTATAGGAAAGCTCTTTGTTTCCCAGGGAAGCAGGCAGTCTAACAACTTCTTTGAACTGGCCATGCATCTGAGCTCTGGGGATCTGATTCTAATCCAGCTGTTGCACCACCATGAGTCTTGCCAAGTCAGTGCAAAAACAGAGCATAGGAGACATGGAGCAAACCTTCTGATTCAGACCTTTTCTGTGCAAGCTGTTCACTGTACTTTCATCATTTTCTACTCATTATTGTTTATGGGTTCTTTGGACATGTCATGACACCCTAGTTTTGCTTTTGTAAAGAACAGTTTTTGGCTGCAGGGAAAATATATTAATTTTCTGTGAAATTGAAAGGAAACACCTTTTCACTAATGTGTTTGTGGTGTTCTGCTATACCACAGTGCCACCTAGAGGTTATGTAGCAGAAAATCAGGAAAGGAAACACCATATAGTGCTCAAATCTCAATTCCATGAGAAACTGAAAGCAGATACAACAGATTAATAGTTGATTAACAAGCTCATGTAGAAAAGCTCTCACAGACTAAAGTACAAGTTGTAAAGGAGTTATGAAATCTGCCATGCAGTAGCCACAAACAGGAGACATTTTGTTTTGCAGAGGAACCCTGCTTGGTGAAGCACCTGCTTCTGTTTTTAATGCCCTTGGCTATATTCCACTAATACTGCCTAAAAATTCATACAAGTGCAATACAGGTATAAGACTGACAGATGGAGAATTTTCAGTGCTTTCCATTTTGGCATACAGAGATATTTATATAAAAGAGATAGTCCGACCAAGGGAGCACCAAAGTTTTGTATCACAATTTTATTCCAGGCAGACATTAACAGAAGGGCAGGTTGAGTTGACAGCATGATTCAAAAGACATTCAAATTTAGGTTTCAGGTAGGAAAAGGAATAGGTAAATGTTAAGATGGATAGTCTCTCTTAAAGGCAAGCATAAGTATACTGTGATGTGCATGTCACCCTGAAATTAATGCTTTCTTCTGTAACTCCTGATAGGTTTAACAAAATAATAAGAATGAAAAAACATACTTGGCTTGAAAGGCATTGTTTGTTCCTCTGTGGTCAAGGTCATGACATAAGCATCCCACAATCAAAGCTAACATTTCAGTTTCTGTCAGAATCTCCTGAAATCCTGCTGTCTGAAAGAAGAAGAAGAAAGGAAAAACAACATTGGTGATTTTAGGAGCATTTTTAAGAAATCACATATACAAGTTCTTAATGGAAGTATGGACAGAGACTACATGTTGTAAAGGCTAATCATTTGTTCAAAGCTACTGAGGGCACAAATACAGTGCAAGTTTTCATCTAGTCAGTAATATACTAGGCCAGTGCTTTTCAACCACTGGTCCACAGACTGGCAGTGGTCTGCCAGCGTTTCCTGCCGGTCTGTGAAAAAGCCGCTGTCATGTGCGTACACGAGAGTGGCATTGAGCTTGCCAGGACCAGCACAGGGTAAGCTGTGCTCTTGCTGCCGATTTCCCACCTCTTCCTTGGCCGAGGAGGCTGGGGAGGGGAGAGGCAGCTCAATAGGAGTTATGCTGCCGGCGGGGCCCCCAAAACCAGGCCTTTTCCTTTCTCGTCTGTGTTTTCTACTGCAAAGGGAAATGCTGAGGCAGGATTGTGTGGAGAGTGTTTTCTCAGCCAACCTATGCTGGTGTGTATGGGGGGTTGAGTGGGTGGGGTTCATTGTATTTCATTATTTGAGATTATGAATATTACTGTATTAAGTAATTTAGTTTGATTTTGTATTGCTCTGCTGCTAATATTGTATTTGTATTTGGTATTAGCATAGGACTGCATTTATACTGATTTTGTATTTTGCTATTGTAAATTTTTGATCAAGTATTCTTGAAAAGAAGCAACTGCAAATTTTGTGGTGGCCTTATTTCAATGACATATTTCTCTCTAAAAACTTCAGTTATATTTTATTACATGTAATTTCAATATTTTATTCTTTTATAAGCATTTTATTGCTGAGTTTCTGATCATTTTAGAGAATTTTCATTTTTTGGTACTATATTTAAAAACTAGTACACAAAATACTATGTTATGTATATAATGCTTTTTATTTCGGCCTCAGTGATCCCTGAAATAATTTTCCTATTTTTGTTGGTCCCCAACTGTAGAAAGGTTGAAAACCACTGTACTAGACCATACATGCAAAAGGCTTAACCTGGAACAATTACCACAATATTAATGAACTACTTAAAAACAAAAGAGGATACACTTTTATTAATATTGGGCTCCTTTGATTAAACTTCTATAAGGAAGGCAATTAGCTAAGTTTCTGCTTATTCTATTGGTCTTGCACTGGTGAGTGAATCATGGAATAGGATGCTTTCCATCTGGTATAATCATGTTTTATACAGATACCAGGTTGTCTTGATGGAAACATAAACCTTACTGAAGTGTTCTTACTTGGACATTAGGCTCTGCTGGCCCCTTTTTGGATGCACACCTTGACATGGTGAGGTGGTGTGAGCATGTCAGAGAAGCCTAGTGCAATGCCAACAGGAGGCCAGGCTCCCTTGCTAGCTAGCCTGGTCTCCTAGCAGGGACAGCCAAGGCGTCAAAGCACTTTACGATGCATGCACCTTCTGCAGGAGTAACATCTTGAAGGACGGTATACAAATGTCTTAAATAAATCAATAAAATCAGCAGAAGAGAATGACTATCTCTGATGGTGATGGAGGCAGAGAAACTTCTGAAGGGTCGCTACTGAGCAGCAGTGGTAGTTGAAGGTGACATTGGTGGAGGAGCTGGTAAAGTGGAGGTGAATGTAAGGAGGAGATGGCGGTGAAGCTCCAGCTAATTCTGGTTAGTACTGGGCAGAAGGAGGGAAGACTAAACCCCTTCTGATTGTTTTTACCTTGAACACCTTATGATGACATAATCCAAAATGAAATAAGAGATGAGACCCCCAAATCAGAAGGCACTCAACTAGCTACAGAGGAAGAACAAAGGACAAGTACGAATAGCACAGTCACTAATGACACAATTAAATTAAAGCTGAAAGGGAGTCTTAGTGGCACAGAGGCAAAAGGAAAGTCCAATGCTGAAAAACACATAGGAACATGGAACGTTAGAAGTATGAACAAAGCCAAACTGGTAACCATAAAGTAAGATATGGAAAGGTTAAACATCACAGTATTTGGTGTGAGCAAACTAAAATGGGACATTTTCAGTCAGACAAACACAAAACAATTTACTCGGGAAATGTCAAAAACAGGGTGGCTCTAATACTGAGACAAAATGTAGCAGGGGCAGTAAGGGGTTATAATGCGACGTCCAACTGAATCAGATCAATCAGAAAACCTATCAACATAACCACCATTCAATGCTCATCTTTCAGTCAGCTTAACTATAATTCGACTATCAATCCAATGTTGTGGGAAAATTCGGCCTGACGGTCAGAAACAAATGACTCACAAAATTCAGTGAAGCTAACCATCTGTTTATAGCAAATACACAATAGGCAACCAATCAGGCAATTGTACATATGGACATCACCAAATGGGCAATATAGAAGTCAAATAGGCTACATAAGTGGAAGAATGACGTGGAGAAGCTATATTCTTGCTGTCAAAACAAGATGAGAAACAGATTGTGGTATCAACCATGAACTCTTAATATCAAAAAAGTATTTGATATTAAGCTGAAAAAGATCACTAACAGAAGCATAGTGGCAAAATACAATTTTAATGAAGAATTTAAAAACCAGATAAAGAACAGATCTGCATTACTAAATTTAACTGACAGTGAAGCAGAACTGTGGACCAAAATCAGAGACACTATTAGGGAAGAATGCACGAAGGTAATTCCTGTAGCAAAATCAAAGAAAAAGCCTAGACGGATGACAGAAAAAGCACTTAGAATTGCTAAGTAAAGTTGAGAAGTGAAAGCAAATGGTGACAGAAATAAGGTCAGAATCCTGAATGCAACTTTTCAGTGACTATCAATAGCACCTATTATCTGGCAAAGCACTGGGCTCTCCCTCACTGGAGACATTAAAAAAGTGTCTGGACAGCCATCTGAGGGGATGGTGTAACTTAGTATCCTGAAACAGCAGGAGGTTGGACCTGATGACCTTCTGACCCCTTCCAACTCTACTATTCTTTGATTCTATGAGAGATACAATGACTATTACAATGGCCATTGCAAAGAAATAAACAACAACAACAACAAAGAAAAATAAGAGAACTCTTCTAAGAACCAAGACATCCAATGGAAATTAAAACCTAGGAAAGCTGAGAGACCAACTGGGGAACTAGTATCCAACGAGGAGAAAACAAAGAGGAGGTGGAAACATCATTTGGAAGAACTATACAGAAGATACAAAAGGATGACAGATGCCTTCAAAGTGGAAGCCTATATGGAAGAAACTACAATACTGGAAGGTTAAGTGAAAGCCACTCTGAAAACACTTGGAAGAAAGCAACTCGAGTAGATAGGAAGAACGGGGCCCATGGAGGATGCTTTGCCCAAGGGCCCTCCAAAGCCTGAAGCTGGCATGTGTGTGTGCAAGATAATGAGAAAGGTGGTAAAAATAGGACCATATATTCTCCTCTATAATGTTGCATTATATTATATGGGTAGGATACAGAGGGAGGCAAGTGGCAATGAAATAAAATGGCAGGCAAGAGGCAAGCTAACTCCTTCTCCTTACTGAACCTTGGCTGGTGCAAGCTTGAAAAGGTCTCTGGGTTTGGTGCTCTCTTTCCACACTCTGTTTGTTCCCTGCACCACACAAAGGCTGTTTACCTACTCCAGAATAGCACTACAGCCTTACTGCTATTCCAGCACAGGTGGCAAGCCCAAATCATAGGGCAAAATAAAAAGGACAACGGAGCCACGCAGATAAGCACTGCAAGAAGTAGCGAGGTGGGGGTGAGGGAGCAGGGTCTTCTCAATCCTGTGCCATGCCATCTCTGTCCAACAAAGCCTTGCTGTTGTTGTTGTACATGTCATGAAGTCATCTCTGACTTATGGTGACCCAATGAATGAATGTCTTTGAAACGGTCCTGGCTTTCACTGTCCTACTCAGCTCTTGTAAACTCAAGACTAGCTTCCTTTGTGGAATCAATCCATCTCATACTTGGTCTTCCTCTTCTTCTGCCTTTGACTTTCCCTAGCATTATTGTCTTCTCTGGTGAGTCTTGCCTTCTCATGGTGTGCCCAAAGTACAGCTTCAGTTTTGTCAATCTTGCTTCCAGGGAAAGTTCTGGTCTAATTTGATCTAGGATCTTCCTGTTTGTCTTTCTGGCAGTCCTGCATCTCCTCCAGAAGCACCTTGACATTGACACCAGCTGCTGTGCTCCTTCTCCTCTTTCTCACCTTTACTGTAATTTGCTGGTTTGACAAGCAGAGAAAACCAAGAAGCAAGGAGCAGGCATCTACTGTTTCTCTTATCCCCACCTTTGTCTGGGCCTGAGTGAGACACAGGTGAAAGGCTGAATGGGTGAAGAACTCAGGTTGGTGGCAGGGGTCTTGTCAGTGGTCCCCTGCTAGAGTGTGGGCCCATGACAAGGACCCAACTATTCCTGCCAGTCCTGCCAGTGTATGTTGGGGTATGCAGTACAAGGGCTCATTAAGAAGAAACAAGGAAATAATTATGTACAAATTGGTTTTCACATTTAATGTTACAGGTAAAAAAACTACATTAGCTAATAGAAGCAACAATACCTGACGAATACATTCAATGTTAGTTCAAGAAAAAATACTGCAATGAATGCAACTGAATACCAAATATTAAAGATTACTTTAAAAATCATTTTCAATGTAAATACAGAGGCTGGATCCAGACTTAGTCATATGTATGGCTGACCCCCTGAAATCAAAGGAACATCAATTAATCATAAATTTAGTCCTGTTGATTCAAATATGTCTGGTCTACATATGACCTAGTCTGGATCCAATCTAGTAGAGCTAGTGTAGCGCAGTGGTTAAGAGAGTGGGACTAGGACCCAGGCAATCTGGATTCTACTTCCCACTTAGCCATGGAACTCACTGGGTGACTTTGAGCCACTTATACACTCTCAGCACAACCTACTTCACAGGGTTGTTTTTCTGAGGATAAGATTGAAAGGTGGAGGAGAATTATGTAAACTGCCTTGAGGTGCTTGGAAGAAAAAATGGTGGG